GCAAATGCTGTTGAGCTGTCAAAGACTCGCGCTTATTCCTGCTTACACTACACCAGTGCTACACCGCAAAAACGAAAACGACATTACTTACCAAACAAAATTTGGAAGAAAATATCGGACAATTTCAGATCGTTTACAATGCGCACTCTTGGATCTTCTTTGCTCGCCATTGTAGAAATGACCTGTAATGACAACTATACTGACGTTTGTTTTCTTACACTTATAGAAAACTTCATCATCATCCCATAGGAAACATCACAACAGATATATACTATTAGGGAAAAAACAGTTAAAACATTTTCTTTTCATTGGATTTTCTTATGGTGAAAATGTATATGTCTATCTTATGTTTGTGTTATGTTAATTTCTAGCCGTGGACGTCAAATAAATCTTTAAGAGATAGTCGTATGAGTTATGCATGATTATCATATAAGATATATCGTATCTAGAGTATCATTCGTCACAACAACAGATGGTTCACAGTGTTCACTCGGCTGTCGACAAAAGCAGGCCACTCTCGATGTGTGCCACGCGATCGTCTGTTTTTTCGGCAGCAACCATTGTGTGGTCCTCCTCATTGTTCTTCATCAGCAGTTCTTTCGGTCGATGCGTCGTCGACTTTCGAAAGCAACCGTTTCGTGATGAGTGTGTGAGTGTTGACCACGTTTTGCGTCCATTGCTGCAATGGAAACGCTTTGCCCCGCGATGGCGTAACTGCCATACAATGAAACCACTGGAAGCGGCTCCAGTTCTGATGGAGGAGGCTTTTTGGATAGCGGAATATAAAGTGTTTATTGTGTTCTACCTTTTGACTATAGTTTTAAGATGTATTGTATAGTGACCAAGAATCCTCGGCTTTGTAAAGTTAATTCGGTTGAGCCTTATCAAATAAATTAATGAACAAAAAAAAACAGAAAACATACTGGATTTTCTTATATGACTGTCTAATGGTTACGATATGTGTATTTACACTCATGTAAATTAAAGAATTCTTGACTCTGAAATATATTGGGCTATTTTCGTGATACATTTTACTCACTCTTAACCAAATTCGAAGCAAATGAAAATCATGTATTAATTATGTGTTATGCCGATGAAAGTCAACCCATACTGCAATCGATAATAATTATTGGATGGTATACAATTTGTAAATGACAATCCAATAGTATCTACCAAACAATACATAGCCTTCAGACGATTTTTTATCATATGAACAATCCTATAGAGTTTGCATGTCGTTTTGTTTCAGTGTAGTCAGATATGTCTTATATCGACAGTGAGCATGCATAAGGGCGTAAACGCGATGATCGATTGTCTTAGTCGATTTTCTCTTTTGTTAATAGCTCACTAGAATTAACGTTTCTCGGTGCATTTGCTGTTGCTTTTGATAGCCAATACAACCTGTTACAACTCCGCATTGAACAAATTCTAGAAAATTGTTTTGCTTAACTGTAGCATGCTCACTGTCGAACTAATAAAACTCATTTTAGTATATGGGTCATTCCGCGCCGACTTCCGACTTTAGGTGGGTTTCGGTTAGAAGACCCACATCGATGCTGTGCTTGCGGAGGAAGTCGGCAAGCTCAATCTGTTTTACTCTTACACAGCAAGCGTTCCAGGTGACGATAGTTAGTGGTTTAGACACCATACTGGATGATGAACTTACCGAGAACTTGGATCTGCTCGGGTTTACTGTGGCACTGTGTTGATGAAAATCTCCATCAGTTGGTTGTCTCAAGAATCCAGAAAGGTGGCGTGAATTCGCTTATCCATGAAGAGGCGGAAAGTCCTCTGCCCTGGAAGCCGGGGCCTTATCCTTCCTTCGTCCTGATTGATTGTTGCTGGACGCCTGTTTTCGGATGCGCTTGAAATCCTCGCGTTTAGGGCATTGCTTGTCGGATCCTTGGTGAGCTCCACCACAGTTGGCGCATTTGGACACCACAGCTTCATCCGCAGCACATTCGGAGGTGGCATGGTCTTGAGTGCAATTGCTGCAGCGTGATTTTATGTTGCAATTGCGGGTGCCACGGTATGGCTCCCAGCGGACGATGATGGAATTGATAGAGCGGATGGCTTTGAGCACGTTGAGCGTCCCCGTTCTGTCGTGACCAGACCCAGGTTTCCAGCCTCGGTCACGGCTACACGAATTAGCGATGCAACTCCCACGGGTACGGCTGCTGTTTCTGCTGCTGCTGGTGGTCCGTTACCTCCAAAATTCGCCACAAAAATCTCTGCAACGAGCTTGGGCACTTCATATTTATACCTGCTAACCTATCAAAATTCTCTAACCAATGAGATTCCGTTAACATACGGTCTATCACATTTCACGCTCACTCGATTCTACTCATTTCTATTCCACACTAACTCTATTTACTACACAATTGTGCCCCGATTCTTCTTCCTCCTCAGCGATTTCCCGTCACTGCTGGTTGGGTATTCCCATCGATGGGAAGAACAGCAAACCTGTTCGATGTAGGTACACCCGAGCTTCCTTCACCGGGCTTCGCGAGCACACACACACAAAACCGCGGAAAAGAGAGCGTCAACACTTTCACGACGAATTTTCGGAACAACTCGAGAGAACGAGCTAAACCAAACTGAACTGCTTGACGATCAAGCAGAGAATGATCATGCTTCAACGAGTAGTAGTAGTAAAATTTACATTTATTTGTTGATTAATTATGTTTTAACACTGTTTCCACAGTACAATTCATTAGCTTTTGGCTCTTCATCTTTGTTCGGTTAAATTGATTATTCTAGTATGACGATTGCGTTTAGCGCTAATTTACAGAATACCCTCTAAAGGGTGTATTGAGTTTGAGTTTAAAAAAATGGATAACCTACCTACTTAACCTAAAGCTTAACCTAACGTGCCAGATCCCTGATGATCTGCTGATCGGATTGCCTACAGCAATCTCTGAACCTTTCGATGGTAGCAGTTCTCCGTATTTCCAGCGTCTGAAGACCAGCCAGGCGAGAGCGTGGAGGACAGTTGAGGAGTGTAAGGCCGAGGTAGACAACCTCTTTGGACCATTACGCCACTGTGCCGTTCAAGTTGATCTTATTATTCTCAGACGGAACAAGTCTGGGAGATTTGGAATGAGGATGGTGTTTGCCACGTTTATACGGATCTTCCAGCTGTTGAAATAATCAGACAGGATATCCAGTCCTCTCTGAAGTTTGGCGGTCAGAGCTCCGATGACCCTACCCTTATAAACGATGGATGTGTCACCAGCGAACAGGGACAACGATCCACCATCAGGGAGTGCCTGCATATCGGAGGTGAACAGGTTGAACAAGATGGGTCCAAGGATGCTTCCTTGTGGAACACCCGCACCGACAGTGAAGGCATCCGATGGGATGAGTATCGTGACCAGCTGTATTTGGTTCACCTCGAGCGAAACTCAACGTGTCTGAAGGATCTTCAGTGCATTCGGGCCCTTTTCCACATCGTGGTTCATTGGGAACGCTATCAACCTAGCCACCATAACGTTACCCAATGCTCAAACTGCCTCATGTTTGGGCACGGCACGGATTGTGGCAAGCAACACGCACCGGAAACATGCGAGAGGATGGAGGACACTGACCCACAATTCGCCAATTGTGGTGCAGCTCATCGGACCACTAGCAAATCTTGTCTAAAACTGCAAAAGGGCCTCCACACCGAACCAGCCAGGTCGGAAGAAAGTTCCAGCTCGCAACGAGCAGAATTCCCCCGCCATTACCCAACGGCGTCCGATTCCGGTTTTTCCACCGCTTCCACTCAACAACCGTTTGGCTGCTTCTGCTGCATTGGTTCCGCCAACTGCTGAGGTGCCAAACCCTTCGGCTAACCCGCGTCGACAATCGTATGCAACCGTAACAACCGAGCAGATTCTTGCTGCATCCCGTTTCATCGACAATCATGGACCGTGAAGCCATCAAGATCACCAACTGGAATGCTTGCTCACTCAAGTGTAAGATCATCGAGTTCGTTTATTTCCTCAACGAGCGTATTATAGACACCATCTTGGCCTCAGACATCTTCATCAGCAACATGGGCCACAACATCTCACAACCTGTGGCCTACCAGGAGCTGAGTTCGGACCACTATCCGGTGGTGGCCGAAGTAGGCTTCTCTGCTAAAAGGTCACAAGCATCCCGGCGCAACTACCATCGCGTTTGCTGGGACCAGTTCCAACGCTGCGTTGACACTACTGTCGACTACGAGGAACATCCGGACACTCCCGAAGACGTCGACCGGTGCCTGAGTTCCATAGAGGTGGTGATATCCTGAGCCAGGGAACAACACGTGCCAGTTTCCAGACAGGTGAGCAATACTCTGAACCTTAATAGACTCACTAAAGACATTATAAGACTCCGTAACGTCATGCGTAGGCAGTACCAACGCACTGGACTGACCACCTTGAAGACTTAATGCTATAGGTCAACACTTCGTCAGCTCTCATAATCTCGGACTGAACATGGCTAGTCCATACGATACTGCGGTTGCTGAAAATGCAGCCAACCTTTTATCAAATTACCAACCATTTTTCTGTGGAATCCGAGATTACGTTATCCAGGCTAGGGAGCAGGCAGATCCTTTCCACCGGTCGCTTGAGGAATCCATCCTTCGTTTTCAGTGTTACAACTCGAACGGCTCCGTCTTCACCTGGATGGGTCTCAGTAATTCGTCCCATATTCCACCGTATTGGGGGTAGATTCTTGTCGCAAACTACCACCAATCTGCCGACCTCGATTTGTTTCGCTGTACCTAAGCGTTTCGTACGTCCTTGGAGTTGGCACAAATACTCCTTGCGCCATCTATTCCAAAATCCCTGGAACTTCTGCTGCAGCTGTTGATAACGATTCAGTCGGTTTGTTGGAACATTCAACCAGTTAGGTTCAGGTAGCTCGTGGAGGGATGAACCGATAAGGAAGTGGCCTGGTGTCAATGGCTCTAGGTCGTTTGGGTCATCAGAGATGGGCGTAATCGGCCGGGAATTAAGGCACGCTTCGATTTACACGAGCAGGGTTTGAAAATCTTCTGGCGAGATCGGTTCTTCTCCAACGACTCTAAGCAGATGATGTTTGGCTGATCGCACGGCCGCCTCCCAAAGGCCACCAAAGTGAGGAGCATTTGGAGGATTGAAGTGCCATTGGATGCCTTCGTTTGTGCAGTATTTGGTTACCGCTTCCTGGTGCTTACTGTCCCGCAACATCGTGAACAGTTCCTGGAGCCGATTTCTTGCTCCGACAAAGTTGGTCCCGTTATCGCTATACATGTCGGTACACCTGCCTCTCCGTCCTATGAAACGGCGAAGAGCTTGGAGGAATCGATCGGTGGATAAATCCGAGACGAGCTCCAGATGAACTGCCTTTGTCGCCATGCAGATGAATACTGCTACGTAGGCCTTGACGGCGACACGCCGTGGACCAGGACGTACGAAGACAGGTCCGAAGTAATCCACACCAGCCTTAGCGAACGGACGCGACACGGTGACTCTGGCTGATGGCAGCTCTCCCATGAACTGCTGAAGCGGCGGCGGTTTTGCTCTGAAGCATTTCAAGCAACGATGGACAACCTGTCGAGCTACATTCCTCCCTCCTAATGGCCAAAACTTCAATCGGATGGTGCTCAATAGAAGCTGCGGTCCTGCGTGTAACAGGATGTGATGGTAGTGCTCCGTAATCATCCTGGTTAATCGATGGTAAGCCGGTAAGACTAGCGGGTGCTTGGTACCTTCAGACTCGTTGGAATGACGCAGTCTTCCTCCTACACGTAGAAGCTGATCCTCCGGGAGATATGGATTAAACCACCTAAGTGGTGATTTTCTGGAGACCAGCCTTCCCTGAGACAACGCCGTTCGCTCTTCGGAGAAGGTTTCCCGTTGAATCAAACGAATTATGGTGGCTTGTCGTAATTCCGAAATGGTGAGAAACCCTACCGTATGGTCAGCCGATCGAGTTTTCAAGCGTCTTATTAACCGTTGCCATACCGCTGTGCATCTTATGAGGCTGGTGTAGTTTGGAAACTTGCTGATGTACCAATCATTGAAGTTTGCCAACGTGGATGATGTCCCTGCTGCAACGGTTCGTCGTGTCTCGATCTGATGTTCGTCTTCTGTTGGGATTTCTGCCGTAGTGGGCCATCTATTTTCCTCCTCGGCTAACCAACGTGGACCGTGCCACCAGAAATCGTTCTGGATTAGGTCTTCCGGCGAAAGTCCCCTAGATATCATGTCTGCAGGATTTTCAATACCTGGTACATGTCGGTAAGGGTTTGTATTTTCGCTACCCTGTTGCTCACGAAGGTGTTCCAGTTCGATGGAGATGATGCCAACCATCGAAGTACGCACGTTGAGTCCGTCCAGAAGTGTGCAGAAGCGTCGATCTTGATTGATTGTAGCACCTTCTCGAATAACTGCGCCGATAGCAATGCGCCGCAGAGCTCCAACCGAGGAATCGTTTGACATTTTAACGGTGCTACCTTGGATTTGGAGGTTAGAAGACGAACGATGACTCTTCCTTCTACATCTTGACTCCGCAAGTACACGCATCCACCATATGCTCGCTCGGAAGCGTCCGAAAAGCAATGTATCTGAACGCTCACTGGTCTGGGAGTGATTACGCAGCGACTAATACGGATTTGATTGAGTAGCGGGAGTTGCTCATGGAATTTCTGCCAACGCTCACCCACCGTTGAAGGCACAAGCTGATCCCAATCTAGTCCGATACCATCTTCGTTTCGCCATGCCCACAGTTGTTGAAGAAAGATCTTGGCAGAGAGGTTTTGTGGGTCCCAGGAAACCTGTTGGGTCGAATAGTCCTGCTATCGTTGACAGAATCTTGCGCTTGGTAAGTGATTCGCTGGGATCGAGTGGTGAAATGCTGAATTGGTACCTAAACTCATCCGTAGAGGGTATCCAAGTAAGTCCCAACGTCCAAGTTGATCCCTTCCGTGGGTCGAATCGCAAGTTCCTCTTCAGGAAGTCCTTGCAATGTCGCCGCTTGATTGGAGGCCCACTTCCGAAGTCGAAATCCTCCACCCTTCAGCATGTCCACGAGTTCTTTTCGTAGATCAGTTGCCTCCTCGATTGTATCAGCACCTGTGATCACGTCATCCATATACGTGTCTTCGCGGATTGCCTTCGCTGCCAGCGGGAATCGATCTTCTTCTTCCGTCGCAAGCTGATGTAGCGTCCTCGTTGCCAGGAACGTCGTGACCTCATCGGTTGGACGAGGCCGCCAGAGAATACATGTCAGTGGTCTGTCTTCTGGTCGAATGTTGATCTGACGGAACATTTTTTCGATGTCAGACACGAGCATGATTTGCTTTATCCGACAGCGCAATATGATCGACCGTAGATCCTGCTGTATTACAGGTCCGACATGTAGCGTATCGTTGAGCGAAATACCTGTAGACGTCTTACAGGACGCGTCGAAGACAACGCGAACCTTGGTGGTGGTGCTAGAAATTGCAGCGATACGGTCTTCCCATTTTCCTTGTGAAGATCATTAAAAACTATCTCTCGGACAGGACATTTTGAGTCTCCCTGGATGGGGCCCATTATAGGGCCCAATGAATATGAGGTGTCGTGCCGATTCATTCTGAACACTTGGTGCGGTTTTAGACCTTCAGTTCCTCCGACAGCGTAGCGGTTTCTACTTTGAGCGGCTTCACCTTTTTCTGCTTCAACAGCTATTCGACGGCCTTGATTTAGTTCTCAAATTACTGTGAAGGTTATCATTTATTTATCATTATTATCCTACATCAACTCTAAATACCACATATACTACGGGCGGCATCATAATTTTACTCAAATCGTGATCAGAATACCTGGGTTGCTTCTGATGGACCTCACGACCTTTCCATGGAACTGACGGTTGGCAAAATAATATACTCTTTCGTTAATTACTTGGCTCCAAAAACATGTTCAGCTGATCTTATCGTCCAATACGCTTAGTAATACTTTCTTTTAACAAACTATGTAGAGAAAATTAGTCCGAATTATGAATGCAGCCAAGTTATTAACGAAAGAGATAGTCGATGAAGAAAATCGATGTAGATAGGTTTATTTGAAAGGTGACGCGAGAATTTTCACTACATCTCGTCATGATTCGATGTGAGCTTAATTATTTTGAATGTAGTAGGACTGCAATACTTATATTGGTTTCATTATACCGGGATGGTAAATTTAGGGTTCGTCTTCGCTTCACACAGGTTAGTAACTAATGTTTATTAAGGTGATTACTTGAAGAGTCCAAAAATGGCCGTCATGAAGACTGAAATGCCTTCATCATTTCAAATTCTCTAGAGCACAAATTTCAGACACTGTTGCTTTGAAACTCCCTGATATTGTGTGCTCTCAAAATTTCGAGGTGGTGATGAAATTAACACTCCAAACACGATGCTTCCGGTAAAATGTGTAACAGCAAATTTGCAATGTTTGGAAAATCATAGCTCAAACATTTACTGATGAATTCCCAATCTATCGACGAAACTTGAAACCACAGACTTAAAAGATTTAATCGGTTTCCATCAATTTAAAATCGATCGATAAATTGATGAGTTATAGTTTTCGAAACATTGCCAATTTTCCGTTACACATTATACCGGAGGCATCGTGTTCGAAGTGTTAATCGGAAATACGTCGGTTCACCTTAAAGGAAATAAAATGACATTTAAGTAAAAAAAACTCTGCACACTGCTATGCTGGACATCCTTCGCCAAAAACATCAGCTTATATGCACGCCAGTTTGCACGTGCCACCAACGAGACCAACTTTCCATGCGGTCTTTTAACTGTAGGTCAAAAACACGGAAGAAAACTTCCCCTCATGCTCACGGCTCACTCTGGCCACAGAATGACGAACGTCGTGCAGTGCGGATTGCATATTAATCTGATTTTAATTCGACGTGTGTGTGATTGCATTTGCATGCTGAATTGCCGTTTGCAGAGATGCAGGCGGTAGAAAAAGCACCATCAGCTTCCCACCGCTCGTTCCGACCAACACACGTGGGAAGCTTAATTTTTAATTTGTTTTTAATGGGAACAATTAAATCCGAATTTGAGATCTTGATGATAAATTGAATTGTGGAACTTTCTGGAATAAGTTTTCGCATTTGAATAAATGTAAGGAAGAGTAACTTCTTTGTAAATTCGAAGATCTCTCTATTCACAAAACTGCACCAAGCAAAACTATAAACGTCGATGACAATAAAATTCTATTTGTAAAGCGGTATCCCCCGCAGAGATAGGTAGTTCTGCCTTTTGTGCTTGCTAAATGTAATTGAAATGGCCTTTTGTTTCTCGCTTGCCCTCATCATACAATCGAGCTGTAGTATGTAGGTAAAGTCCTTTCGGAAACATACAAAAGTGAACAATCAGTACTGTGCCGTATAATAGAGTCGTAGAGTCTATCTATCTCTCTCTCTCTCTCCCAGCATGGGATCTGGGATATGCATATGCGAAGGTATGTGAAAGAATAGCAGGTCCCATTCTTTACCCATCCCACTTCCTCTGTTCCCGGCGAAAATTAACCATTCACTCCGTAGGGAGCGCCCATCAGCCGGGACAGGAAGTTCAACAGGATTTAGTTTAGAAGTAAGACTTCCGACATAACTTTCGGTTGTGCTTATTTTCCGGTTCGGGACGGCTGGCTTGGAATCGTGCGATGTGGGCATTAAGAAAGGCGATGACAACGGTGAAGGATTTGGTCCACAGTGTGCTGGAACGTGTCGTCGTCGTTCTCCGGGGTAAAGTTTTCAGGATAGAACACATTAAAGTTTTGCAGCGTGGAAGTTCGTTGTGAACGAAGGTGCCATCAAATTAAATTGCTATGTGCATTTATGATTGATACAAAAACTCAAATAACTTTTTATTAAATTGTAATGAAAATACTGTAAATTCATAGCCTGCTTAGTATTAACATTCCTGTTCATAAATGTATGAAATATACGCTGAATTTAATAGGCCTAAAAAAAACTTGGCCTCGAGATATATTATCGGTACAGTTGAAACCCGGAAAACCCCACACGCGACAATTGATTTTACTCTTGCTGTGTACGCTAAACATAGTGTCGGACTTTATGTTTAACGTACAGGGCGAGATTAAAATCGAATGTCGCGTGTGGGGTTTTCCGGTGTCCAACTCGACCGACAATACATTTTAGGAAAGCCACTCATTCTTGGAAATGGATAATTTTTTATTCCGACCTTTGTCTTTAGAATTTTGTCATAAATGCACCCCACACGACAGAAGTTTCGTCAATATTTCCATCAATATTTTCCGGGGGTCATCAATACAGGGTCGCTCCTCACTAACATTGTTGTGTCCGATAGAATATTCCGAGTCAAATCAAAACCACCATGACAAAAGTTGCCGAGAAACAGGCCCCATCAATAGAGTTAATAATATATTGAGGAAGAATAGCACTGCCGTCGCTGTAAAAACATCTCTCCTCGCCCATGGGGCTACACCTGTCAAACCGATTGGTTTGTTTATTTACGTCTCGCAGCTGATAAAGTCGCAAGTACATCTCCGGAGTAATTTGAGATTTGGGCGTAATTGCATTTGTAAACAAACACGTCAATCATCGATTTCTCGCGAATAAAAGCTCAATCTCGAAAAGTAATAACACTATGAGGTAGAGGAATAATTCTTCTATCATTTGGTATAGTTTGTTTGTGAGATTGAGCTTTTATTCAAGAGTAATCAGTAATTGACGTGTTTGTTTTCAAAAGCAATTACGCCCAAATCTCAAATCACTCCGGATCTTTAAGAGAAATGGCGCGGAAGTGTTTTTTTTTTTAAATCATGTCAGCTATCGGAATGGAATGCCGGTCCATCAATATCCTTCCATCGGTAAGTAACAGAGGTTTTAATAGCATTAGAAGTCGTTTTATTACATATTATCATCTCCTTTGCAGAGTTCCCAAAAATGAAGGTAAAATCAAATATATCATATTAACAATATGATCCATTCATGCCTTTTCCAAAAATTGCAATGGCGACCCGCAAAATATTGCTTCACGCTCCATCTAGCGTTAAAAAAGGTCAGCAACAATCATTCAATTACAATCGAGGGCTGCGAATATAGCACTTATTACAAAAGTAAGAGTCACATTATTTTCATTAATTACATTGTGTATATTACTTTTAAAAAAATTGTCTGACATGTCACTGTTGTCATCAAATAAAATAATATGCTGAAATACATTCATTTGAAATAATTAACTAATTTGCGTGACGAAAAACAAATACATTGGTAGCCTTTTTGACCACAGAGGTGCCTTCATCACTAAAAATTTGGTTCGCCATCTAAGCGAAAGAGTGGATCATATTGTTAATATAATATATTTGGTAAAATGCAAGCATGGAGAGCAGCTCTGGAACAAGCTAATAGAGCCCGTAGCTAACGTAACCAGAGGATTATTTAGATAAAGCTTCGTGGTATGTATCGGTTGAAACAT